GAATATGGGACCTATCCATGTGAATGGAAAACATCTCTTATCACCTCTAGATTCAAAACGGGATCACGTAGTGATGTTGCTAACTGCAAGCCCATTAATTTGACATCCGTGCTATCAAGAACTATGGAAAAAACCGTCCACTAACAGCTATTATCATTTTTACTTTCAGCTAGTTTGATTAGCCCATCCCAACACGGGTTTATGACTAAACTCTCATGCTTCACATCGCACCACGAACATTTTGATCAAACCATCCAGAGAAGAGATGTTGGTCAGTCAGTGATAATCCTGTACTTAGATTTTAGTAAGGCTTTCGACAATGTCTCATACAAACTTCTTCTAAAACTCTCTTCATTAGGCGTACAGAATCCCCCCTTATTCATCCTCTTCTCTCACCAAAGAAGCTATATTTCAGTGGTAACCCAAAAAGAAATAAACAGTTTATACGAATGGACTGTTTTGTGGAATTTGCCACCTAATTTTGACAAAAGTGGATTTATTCACATTGGCCGCTGTCTTAACTTAAATCTGACTATTTACCAACATGTACTCAAACCTCTCAATACTGTCCGTGACTTGAGTTTTAGATATAGCAACAGTCTGAACTTTTCTGAGCACATTGCACCTCAAGTATCCAAAGCCAGAAAGCTCATCGGATCGATAATGATAAACCTCAATAATATCGAATCGAGGTTGTTATTATACAGAAAATGTATCTTACCCATTCTTGAATATGGTATTTTAGTTTACGGTAATTGCAGGCATAATGACCTGATCAAAATTGAAAGTGTTCGAAGAAAGTTCACCAAAGCTGTTCTGGGGTATTCCGATAACAAAGACTATCACCAAAGATAATAATCAACAACTCAACTTAGAACCTCATTGGATCAGACGTATCAAATCAAACTTTACCTCTATCTACCGGGTTGTTGACGATATTTCCTACTCCCCGGTATCCAATTCTTCATATTCTATGTTATCATCCAACATTCTACGCAAAAAGAAGAATATTCTAGAGATTCCAAAAACCTACACAAACTTACGCCACAATTTTTTCATAATCCGCTACTCGACCATGTGGAACAGACTGCCAGTGAACCTCCGTCGCAGTGAAACTACAACCCGGTTCACAAGTCTCCTTGATGATGTTCTTTCTGAAAGTGGATAGTGTCACCTATTGAATACCGATGTGTTTATTAATGATTTATACAAACAAGGTCCGTCATCTATCTAATTAACTGAAAAGCTAATTGTAACCTTTGAAACTTTTCACGTCTATTTTATTCTTATTTTTAGTCATCTTAATGTATGAAGTCTGCTTATGTTTGTATTTATCATTATTACCGTTATTAATATCGCTATTGGTCCCCCGACACATTAGATATTCTTTTTATCTCTTTTTATCCTTCTAAACATATTTAATTCCAGATTGTCCTTTGAAATCAATTGTGACTTTCATAGCCTCATTCTTAATTATTATTGCACAAATATTTGTACTAATATCCGGTTTCACTCTGTGTACTATTACATAAATCTACATGTATTTATTCGAGTGCACTAAAGGAATTTTTTTACCTTATTTTATTATTTTTTCAAATTGTTGGTCTATTTCAGAAGTCAATATTCATTACACAATTATTACTATCATGGTTTAACCCTTTCACTAGATGTTTTTTTCTTTTTCCTTCTAAATGAATAATAATCCTCAGATTACGAAGTTTGCAATTGAGACAATAACTTGTGTTAAACTTAAATTATCTTCTCAGACTCGTTCTATCTTCACTATGCATATACGACTCATATATTTTGTTATTTGGTTATCCTTTTCATTAATTGATACTTTTATAGCATCACTCCAAACTATGGCTGCACAAACATTCATTCCAGCGTGATATCTTACCGCAATAATAAGTTATTTTTTCTTAATTATTTTCTATTTAATTTTTGTTACCATTTTGTTGATACATACATAGTCATTTATTCTTGTTCTGTGTTCGTAGACACACCTATTAAACTATTTGCGTATTAAACGTCTCCTTTATTTCTATTCCCTTATTTTCTCCCTTTCCTTCTCTAAAGTCAATTCAGTATTCTTCTGAATTACACAGAACCTGATTTAGTGTTATTATTCTATTATTACTCTATTTTTCATATATGGCGAATATAATGCTAAAATTATTGAAACTTGTGTATTGTTGTATTGTTGAACAAACCGGAAGTTGTTTCCTCACAACATTTATGCACCCATAAGATGTTTGTGACTAATAATAATAATCGCACGATTCTTGAAGCTGAGCAGAGAATTGATAGGAAGATTGATGTCCGATACTTGAGTGACATCCTGACCCTGTTATTTATTCGCTTATCAGTCTTGACTGTTCTTATGTGAGAGCGTAGGTGTGTGTATATTTCGACGAGACCCTAATTTATGGACGGGTCAATCAGAGGCATTTTAGAGACTTCAAGGTTACGGCGCCATTTTCACTGCTTAATGCTAATGTACGATTGGTTCACAAGGAGTTTTGTACGAAATGTGATAATTCAGTGGCTATAGCAAATAGAACGCGGGACTATAATTTGTGGACGAATCAATCAGACATAAGATAATGGGCCACGGATTTCAACGCAAAAGTCTTTCAACCATTTGGCTAAATAAATTTCTGGCGTTATAGCTGATGTCAGTTCGTGATGAAAACCCCATAAATAATTCCTAATCAAAGCAAATTACGACAATTATTGCGAACTGGTTAATAGAAGCACCAGTAACACTGGCTGCAGCCAGATATTACAATATATACGGATGTTTGGAAAGCGTACAGACTCCTACATAGGCTTGACTGTGTGCATCGTGTCGTTATCCACAAGTGGCATTTTGTGCACTTAACAACCGGAGTGCACATAAACAATAATGAAGCTATGTAGTCAAGGCTCAAAGAGTTTTTGAGATCTTATCATGGCTCTAGAGGCCGACCATTCTGTATCCGTATGGATGATTTCCTCTACTGCACGTATTACGATTTCAGAATCTCTGAACGTCTTTCTAACCTTGACAGGTTTTTGAACCACGTATAAGAATTGTATCCACTTTATTTCCTTGGTTTTGTATAATATATTTTTACTCTATACTGACTTTGTTGATTGGTTAATATTCCTCAAGGTCACTAGAGATTCGTTCAAAGGTCGTCCATAAACTAGAGTCTCGCCTACATTTCTTATCCCATTACTCATCACATGTCTGTAGCTTACTTTTGTGTAACTATATTGATTACCGCTTGGTTAAATGGGAGATGGCTTACCAGCCATATCGACTTCACGTCGTTCCTATTCTCTCTTCCATTCGCTTTATATACAACATATATGTATTTACAAGTCCATTCTCGTTATTCGACTTATTCAACTCCGTTATTGACTAACACGATTGAAGTCGATGATTATATACTAGAGTAGGTGACATATATTTCAATAACAATCATTCATACGATCTAATTGGAGTCAGATCTCGGGCCACTAAAGTGGAGAGCCCTTTCGACAACATCGTTCAATCTAAATGACGATTAAATAACGGGCCTCCACAAAAAGTTTCCAAAGAATCGATCTTCTTAAACTAGCTCAGCTTCCCATCCAGGTGTCCGTTCAGCCATCAAGCTCATGGCAGGACGATTTTGCTGGCCCGGTCTGAGTAGAGAAGCGAAGAAGTGGGCACGCTTCTGTTTAAGCTGCCAGATATCTACAGTGATCAAACACAACAAATGTCCCCTAGGTTCACTTAAAACTCCTGATGCTCGTTTCTACCATGCTCATCTGGATTTGGTAGGACCCCTATTAAATTCAAGGGATAATCTTACCTGTCTGCATTTGTAGGCCATTTCACACGATGGCCACAAGCAGTGCCCATCAAGGACATTACTAATGAAACTGTGGCCTGCGCCTTCGTCGAACTATGGGTAGCAAACATCGGTTGCTCTTCAACTATCTCCAAAGACTGGGGACGCCAGTTCGAATCTGGATCGACGCTCTTCTACTCGTATTATTTGGTATCCGCAATGTAGTGAAATTTGACATTGGACACACTGCAGCTTACATTGTTTATGGAACGGCAATTCGATTTCCAGGATAGTTCATGGACCCTTCATCTTCGATAAACATGTCCCTAACCTCCTACATGAGCAGGCTTACATACGCGATGCGTTCGGTTAAACCTATTTTCACTCGACCGCAAACAACTGATGTTTTCGTCCAACCTACCTTACGATATAGCACACGTCTTTGTACGTTGAGACTCACTTCAACGACCTCACGGAACAACATGCGAAGGACCATTCAAAGTTCTTCAGTGTGGACCTGTGTACTATATCATCGATCAGAATGGAACTAACGATAACGTTAGCATTGACGGTGTCAAAGCCAAGTACATAGAATGAGATCCTAACAATATTGAGTTTCGTCCAGCAAACTCACTATTACGATAACCTATTCGATGATCAACAATATCGAAGAAACTTCTGACACCCGTCCTAAAACGACACACTCTTGAAGAAGGGTTGGGTTTCTGGAACACTTAAACGATTTCTGCTCACAGGACACCACATAAATTCGGTTTTGTATTGATTGTTTCACGTTACTAAGTGAAAATACCAAAAACAAACCTCTCTAACATGAATTTATATATGCGCACATTGTTTCTCTCACGAGAAACCCAATAAAACGATCAATCTTCTAAACTATCTAGAGAGAGACAGTATATCTCTGTCTTTAGTTTATTCGGAATGCGAAATTTGTTTAATCATGTTAAACTACCGGCCATATTAAAACTTAGCCGTCATCTTGTTTTGCCCTTGAAGATTGGTAGACAAGTTTATCAGGTTGCAAGTTGAAGGGTTGGTTGCGTTGTAACGCCCCGTTAATAATGTGATAAAATGGTGCTAATTATTGATTCAGAGTAACGATCGCCGACGATCTTCTGGTGAGAATATTTTCTCGTTATTTTTTGAGTGAATTAGATGTCAGACCCTCGAGAACATACCAATCTCGATTTTTTTAACCTGAACTTAGGCTCATGGAATAATGGTTCTGGTATGGAACTAGTCAATAATGATATTTGGCCTCTCAATTCGGACTCTTACCTTGCTCATGCCAAACTGGGCAACATGGGTAAACTGCATACAGTTTAATTTATTTCAGCTCTTCCCGCCCCAAAACAACCCGAAAAACTAACTGTCGACTCTAAACCGGACCCTGCAAGTATGAGTTTGTTAGGTTTAATCTTATCGTTCTTAGTTACTTGGTCTAATAATCCTTTGAGGCTCTCTAACAAAATGTCCATTTGGTCGAGTGATATGCAAGTATCAGAAGCAAAGTCATCAGGTAATCACAACCAACATTGGGGAAGTTCAACTAAACAGAGTGTTTCACTTATCTATGATGATGTAAGTCACTTGTTTTTTAAACTGTACGATAGGTCTGGGACTCATCTCACGATCCTGTGTTTCAAGTGCCAATGGTTACTAGTGATACTGATCCTTGGAAACTTAGTCCAACACATTGTATTGGTTCCCTCACAGATGCGCCCATTACTATTGCGGATCCGGGTGTCTTGGCTGGTACATCCAGGTCTTCCGACATACTTCATGATAGTCCCGCTAATAGCCTTCCTTATGTTACTGCGATGCTTTCTGGTCTGAATCTTGCTCCTAGGAGTCTCGATGAAACAAGTAAGTCCTCAGTTTAACTAATCATATTATGCAGTGTTTTCTTAAACTTATATGTCTGTGCTTCAGATGATCTTGTTATTTCAGTTATAGCTAGAAAGTAGCATATGGACTGTTGAATGCAACAAACAACGGCTCAGGCTTCTCGTTTCAAACTATATTTCTGTCAAAGTGCTAGTGTCAACACTATATGTGCATAAACCTCAGTATCTTTGCTTCATTTCAAATCCAAGACATCTATTCTAAAATGCTCTGCATCTGATAAACTACAATATCTCAAGGTGTCAATTCTTCATTAATTAGAGTTTTTTAATGTAGCTTATAAATAAATAATCTCGCTTACTCTATTGACATTAGTTCCAAAACAAATATTGCCTAAACTAAATGACTAAGCAGCTAACAGCGCTTGTACTGATTTTCATATTTCAGAGCAGTTCATTATTGGCATTTGTACTGTAAGTATTAACCCGTCTAACTAAATTCTAAAACTGACTTCCCATACTTTGTTTTAGAAGTATTCACATTTTAAATGCGTCACACGAAATTGCGCTAGTTAACGTTTAAAATAATCGACACATACAGACCGATGTATTGAGTATGTGACTGTTAATTGAGTAGCGCAGTCGGTTGACTTTAGTGAGAGGGCAGATATTTCTCACTTAGACTAATCTTGTCGTAAATGACTAGTCTGTAATATATCAGAATCAATCCACAGCATAGTGATGTGCGCACTTACGATATCAAACAGATAAGTTTTACTTTTTTCCTTCAGTTTGTCACGAACAATTTCATGTATTCACCAGGTCTTAAATAATTCAACAGTCTATGGCCTGTTTTAGGTTTGTTTGTCTTGTGGTGATAACTGCCAGTCGACTTACACTTATACAATAGATCATGTTGTGTACCAATTTGCTGAGTTTGAATTTCCTTGTTTCATCAACTGTAATCTAATCAAGCTATACGTTTTACAGCATCGTATCATGAACTGATCTCTCAACCGTGAGCAATATCGATGTCAAAAATACTGTTATTTTCTATATCAACACTTCAGATCCTGTCATAGTAATTTGTTAGATTTCAAACTTTATCACTTTGGTACATCTCACGATGCTGCACTGCCTTGTAGGTCAGACCGTTAGGTCAAAGGCTCGGAGTGTGGCTCCCCAGGAAAACCACCTGCTTCGGTCTGGGCGCCCGGGCAGTATCACAGCCCACACACAAGTATGATGAAATGTCGATGTTTATGGGAAATGATTGTCTTGCTTCGACCAACAATCAAACGATTCACATTATTATTATCATTACTATTATCACTATTATTTTTTTTCACGTCATTTATTCACTCTTTTATTCCCACTTTATGTATCCTTATTTTTCGACTTATACAGCAGCTCGCCTGTGGTGGAAACTCGATTCTGTCTAAACGTTCTCGAGTCACTGCCTGGTTGAAAATTGTATGCTACCACCAAATACGAACACTTAATCAGTTTTTTTTTGAAACCACGTTCACCATTCAAACTGGCTGCCTTCAACTTCCACACACTTATGCAGGTCGGACAACAAATAGGGCTGGCTATGTCTTTGGGAAGTCTTAATATCGATGTTCGTTGTCTATCTGAGACCCGTATTCAAGACTCAAGTGAAGTGCTACTAATTCGCTCTCCCTGTCGCTTCAAAAAGCTTGTTCTACGTGCGTTTGTCCGGGGACCCTGTGGCATCTTCGTCTGGTCTTGCTGGCGTTGGTGTCGCACTAAGCGCTAGGGCTGAGGCAGCACTAATCGATTGGATCCCCATTAACAGTCGGTTATGTGCCGTTAGATTAGAAAGTTCCATCTAAGTGAGAAGAAATCGGCGTGAGAAACCATGTCTTTTCGTCGTCTCCGCCTATGCTCCTACGGATTGCAGCCCGGATGCAATCAAGGGTAAATTCTACCACCAGTTAATTGTTCTTCTCCAGAAAGTGCGTTCGACAGATATTGTATTACTAGCCGGAGACTTGAATGCTCAGGTCGGGCGTCTAGGCACAGAAGAGAGTCGTTTAGGTGGTCGATGGGGACTTGTTGGTCGCAGGACAGATAATGGGGACCGTCTACTGCAACTGTGCACAGACCACAACCTGTTTCTGGCTAGCACTAACTTCCGGCACAGTCATCGCCGATGTCCCACCTGGCGTCCACCCTCTTCATCTGAAGCCTGGACTCAAATTGATCACATGCGCTTCTCTCCCTCGAAATGCAAGTTGTTGCTTCAGGACTGGTCTGCGTCAATACCTGAACTAAGGATCGGGAGTGAAGTGGTCGGACGCGTCGACAACTTCACTTATCTTGGAAGTCTGATCAGCCCTAATGGGTTGGTATCGGACGAAATCTCAGCACGGATTCGAAAAGCTCGTTTGGCTTTTGCCAACACACGTCACCTTTGGCGAAGGCGAGATATCCGTCTATCAATAAAAGGATGAGTATACTGCGCGGCAGTCTGTTCTGTTTTACTTTACGGCAGCGAAACATGGCCTTTAAGAGTAGAAGACACTCGTAAGCTACTAGTATTTGACCACAGATGCCTTAGAAATATTGCTGGCGTCTGCTGGGATCACCGGGTAAGTGATAGTGAGGTTAGACGCAGGGTATTAGGGAATGGTGGTAAATCAGTTGATGAGTTGGTTAATCTTCATCGACTGAGATGGTTGGGTCACGTGTTACGTATGCTTGAACACCGATTACCACGACGTGCAATGTTGCTACCAAAACCTGGCATCAGCGCTTGAAGTCACTAACTTCTAGTCTGAGCCATGTTGGTAGATGCAGACTACTTGGTTGGGGTCCGCGTGACTATCGTAACCAATGGTTGGCGACTCTTGGTGACATAGCTGAGAATCGGTCACAATGGCATCGGTGTATACACTCTCTGTCTTCTCTTAAACTAAGAGATTAAAATTGCTTCATATCTTTCTTTCTACGAACTAATTCTTTCTTCCTGTACTATATCCTTATTGCAATCTTTCTTTTATATATTACCACCTCTCAATTAACCACTAATATGAATCCGGTGTCCATCTTGTGTTAATGAGGTATGGCAACTTGGACCGATGCATATATGTGCCGGGTCCTACGTTGTAGCTGACTGACTGATCAGCTACCGCTGGCGTGGTTGTGTACAAGACTGCCGTTTCTTTTAGAGTACCTATCTGGACTCTGATCATGCCATGGTCTCCGCCAATCTTACCTTACTTTTCAGTGGCCAGCGAAGTGACTGCTACCAAAGGATTGATGTCAGCAAGTTGGTTGCAACTCCTGTTGCAAGTAAGTATCGAACCGAGCTAGCTTCTAGGCTAGCTACCACTCCACCGAAAAGTATAGATGAGCATTGGTTGCAACTTCATGACGCCATCAAAATGGTGAGTAAAGCCCCTTGCGGCTTCGCGAAACGTCATGCTTATAAGTGCTGGGTTTCTTCAAGCTCCTTACAACTCATCGAAGCCCGTAGGTCTACTCTGGGTGACCGTCAGTTTGACCACAAACGAAGGATGCTACGTAATGAAATCGGGCAAAGCTTGCGTAAGGACCGAGAAGCCTGGTGATCGGAGCGGGCAAATGAGCTGGAAGCGGCAGCTGCCGAGAGCTCTTCCAACTCATCCGAGCCACTGGCAGAAAGAAGTCTGTTGTGAGCGAAACAATTTGTGAGGATGACGGTATGCCAATCACTGATATCCAGCGACGTCTTGGACAATGGGCAGAATTATTTGGAGGGCAGTTCAACTGGGCTGCTGCTCCGGCAATGTCGATCGGACTGTCCTGCCCTCCATGGCCGGTGACGACTGATCCACTAAATTAAGCGGAAGTCCTCAAGGAACTCCAGCTCCCAAAACGCTACAAATCACCGAGCCCAGACGACTTACCTCCGGCCCTTTTTAAAGATGGTGGTGACTTTCTGGCTAAGGAACTGACGACGTTGTTTACAAAGGTCTGGGAACTAGAGAGTGTACCAACGTCATGGGATGAGTCGACAGTTGTCCCTATCTTTAAAAAGGGTTCACGTCGTTCCTGTAACAACTATCGGGGGATAAGTCTACTTTCGATTGCATTCAAGCTATTGGGTTCCGTCATATTTCGTAGGTTGTTCAAAAACCGAGAAAGACTGACTCGCGAGAAGCAGGCTGGCTTTCGTTCCAATCGAGAATGTACTGATCATATCTTCACCCTCCGCCAAATGTTAGAACACCGTCATATTTATCAAAGGCCAACAATCGTAGTGTTTCTTGACGTTAGGGCTGCCTTCGATTCGTTGGACATTATTTATGTGTTGAATTAAATAAATAATAAACTGGTAACCTCAGGCAGAGTGAGGGCATACAGCCACCTCTCTCCTTTGTTCCATTCCAGCAGCAAGGTTAGACAGGGTTGCCCAATCTCACCGTTCCTCTTCAACTTTGCCATCGATGTAATTCTGGAAACAGCTCTGATGAATGTAAGTAACGGCGGTATGGATCTGTTGCCTGGAGAAAGACTTCTCGACCTTGAGTATGCGGACGATATTGTCTTACTGTGCGGTGATGCCCAAGGCATGCAATCCGCACTTAATCAGTTGGCAATCAGTGTCCGTAGGTATGGTATGTGCTTTGCACCTTCGAAGTGCAAAGTACTTCTACAAGACTGGCAGGATTCCAATCTTGTACTCACCCTGGATGGTAAGCAGATAGAAGTAGTCGAGAAGTTTGTGTATCTGGGTAGCTGCATGAGTGCTAGTGGTGGCGTGAGCGATGAGGTCAATGCACGTATAGTGAAAGTCAGAGCGGCTTATGTCAATCTGGGCCACCTTTGGCGCCTTCGTGATGTTAGTCTGGCCGTAAAAGGTCGGATCTACAACTCGTCGGTGAGAGCACTTCTGCTCTATGCTTGTGAAACCTGGCCTCTACGAGTTGAGGATGTTAGACGACTCTCTGTGTTCGATCATCGCTATCTCCGAAGGATTGCTGACATCCGATGGCAACACCATGTTAGTAATGCAGAGGTTTGGGATCGTGTGTTCGGGCACAGAGATGATAATGTAATTGGTGTCACCATCTTGAAACACCGACTTCGGTGGCTTGGACATGTTCTACGAATGTCGTCCCAGTGAATTCCTCGTCGTGCATTATTCGCCGACTCTGGGACTGGTTGGAAGAAGCGGAGAGGTGGTCAGTGTATGACATGGTGTCGTGGTATGAAAGAAAGCAACAAAGGTGTTGGAGAATTAAAAGTTATGCATACTTTTATTTTTAAAAAAAAATCAAAACGCCGGGAACAGACATGTCAGTATCTGTGCAAGAAAAAAAGTGATAATTCTGTATTGCCTAGACGATGAACTAATCGAAAGCACAAGCCAGTCACTCAGTTGCAGTTGGACCCTAGCACCAGATCCTACGAATCTGCTCAAAGGGGAGGTGTTAGCGGGACATAGACTAGATTAAAGCATGCTCAATGTATGATTGCTTTGGTGCACGCTGATTGGCTAATTCTTATCCAATCAGCACTAGCCGATAGTTGTAGAACACTCTGGAATCTTCTTATGTAAAAACTATAAATATACTGACGTTTTCCCTATTGTGCTTCTGACTTGCTATTTGGAATATAATCTCTTTCCTGTTCAACCGTGTTTTGATTTGGGGACTTGTCGAGTGAATCGGTGTCTGAGAATACTAAGCAATAGGAATAGCTGGGTCATAACCGTAAGAAGAAAGCGATTTATAACAAAAGGGATGGCTTGTGATAGTCCTTTACGACTCCCTGGTCGGGGTCCTATAGATGGCGCAACACAGTGGCTAGAGACGTTATCAAATATGGCTCAGAATGGAAGCCAGTGGCGATCCTGCAGTAACCTTTTACTTTCTTCGTAAAAAATGGTTGTTTCTTCCTTAACTGAAAGATTTCTACTGATTATATCTTTCCGTTTCCTCCATTATTACTACAATTGTTATTACACTACCTTACACTAATCTGTTTGTTCTCTTTGAATTCTCATTGTATTTTGTGGCGCATATATATTTGGTGCCCTTTTGTACCGATATTTGTGTTTAAATAATAATAAATAAATAATCACTTACATCTATCGACGATGGGCAGAATTATTCGAAGGGCAGTTCAACTGGGCTGCTGCTCCGGCAATGTCGATCGGACTGTCCTGCCCTCCATGGCCGGTGACGACTGATCCACTAAATTAAGCGGAAGTCCTCAAGGAACTCCAGCTCCCAAAACGCTACAAATCACCGAGCCCAGACGACTTACCTCCGGCCCTTTTTAAAGATGGTGGTGACTTTCTGGCTAAGGAACTGACGACGTTGTTTACAAAGGTCTGGGAACTAGAGAGTGTACCAACGTCATGGGATGAGTCGACAGTTGTCCCTATCTTTAAAAAGGGTTCACGTCGTTCCTGTAACAACTATCGGGGGATAAGTCTACTTTCGATTGCATTCAAGCTATTGGGTTCCGTCATATTTCGTAGGTTGTTCAAAAACCGAGAAAGACTGACTCGCGAGAAGCAGGCTGGCTTTCGTTCCAATCGAGAATGTACTGATCATATCTTCACCCTCCGCCAAATGTTAGAACACCGTCATATTTATCAAAGGCCAACAATCGTAGTGTTTCTTGACGTTAGGGCTGCCTTCGATTCGTTGGACATTATTTATGTGTTGAATTAAATAAATAATAAACTTTGGTAGCCCGAGTTTTATTTCTTGTACTTCGGGCCATTAACAACTATGATATTTGTATTGTAATGTGTTACACATGGTGGTGTGGAATACCTGGAGAGTACAGTTATCTTTCTGGACATCTGAAATACCACTATGAACTTAGATCTAACTAGGCACAAAAGGTTCTTAGTACTAGATCAAATATTGTGGTATTCTGTGCTCACTAATAACTTCGTACTGAATAGATTCAATTGAAAACAAATATTCAGGTCGATAATACGTTAGTTCCCTAAATAATCTGTTAACGTGGAAACTTTTTGTTTCAGCGTCCGGTGTCAAAACGTCCATTGTCTGTGCTAACGTGAATGATGTTGCGTTCTCAGCAGAACAACTCTGTGACAGACTAATCAATACAAACGAGGGTTGGGGTCGACGACCAATCGATCAAGCAACACCTTGGGAGCCATTAGATCCAAAGTTGGGTGACCAAGTGAATCGCAGTGGCATAACTACACCTACCCCGGGAGCTTGCCCTTCTGGGTATGTAAGTGGAAGTCTTAGGATATCTCATACCCACTCAGCTGATTCTAACGTTTGGGCATGTGGACCGCCAACAGGAACAGGAATATGGGAAATGCACTATGAAAGTTTAAGTGGACGCTCGTCTGCATGGCAGGAAGAATCACAATCCTCGACTTACCGTGATGCTTCGTCTGTTACCCATATTAGTCCTAGTACTTTAATAAACTGTAACATGAACGCTAATTCTCGAGGTGCAACACCAATGCCACTTAACCGTCGAGACTGGGAAGATAATGAAAATAGTAAGCACTAAATAATTTAAAGTGTTCATTCTAATTTACGTGCTATGTATATATTATATGTGCTAATGAAGTATGGCAACTTGGACCGATGCACATATGTGCCTGGTCCTATGTTGTAGTTATGTATATTTATAAGCCTCGTTTAAAATAATTGTATAACAACATATGTACCATTCTTTTAGTTTTTAGCCGTTATCTATGGTCGGTTTGTTGCACTCGGGCTTACACTTTTAAACATTTTTGCACGTTTTAATTTCCACTAGTTCACTGTTGTATGATATATGGTTGATCTGAACTCGATAAAAAGCGCGCAAACCACTCCATGGTCCCGGTACATATATCACAGCATCACTTTTTACCGATAATAAAATAAAGGGAAAAGTTAGTTATAGTGTTTTCATCACGGACTTACAAGCTGTAATGCAAGAATGTTTTGTAGCTATATTCGTGGATAAATTTTATTCAATCCAAGAGGCACTATCTTCAGTTTGTCGTGTGGCAATGTGGGTCTACCCGTATCTCTTCCAGACCTTTAATGATTAAGTCATTCTAGATCTACATAAGCCATTCACTCATGTGTAATATTTTCTAGTTGACTGAATGGGTTAATAGGTTATAAGATAGTGCCTCTTCAGTTCTTGGGGTAAGTTTATTAAACTATACAACTAAGTGTTCTTGCATTATGGTTGGTGTCAATCAGTGATGAAAACCTTAAACTTAACTCTAAATCCCTAATCTTAGCACTATAGATCACTTATATTTGTTATTTTGTAGTCGGCGGTTTTTTAGTGGGTCGTTCAAGCTCAATTTTATGGTTCGACTTTATCGTAATTTTACCTTTCGATAGTCTCTTTCCGATGTAACTAACGTATGTTATGTACGAGTGCCTACGTTGTTTACGACAGGTTGGTTTTCTAGCTACTAGACATGTAAATGCATGTGAATCCGTTCCTCTGTTTATTTGTTTCTAATTAGGATTATCCAAAAACTGGAGTCTCGGCCACTCTGAATCCTCAGACCACAGCAGCTTATTATGGAACTCGGTGTGTGTGACTGATAGTGAAGATAGTGTTAGTGGGGATATCATCCATAGACGCCCACTAGTAACAGTTGGTTGCAGTCAGGAAAGTAAGTGGTTTTATGTTAATTTCAGCCCATTATTTCCCTCAGTAGAAATTTGTTATCAGATAGTAAAGATAAACCAATGGGTGCATGCAGTTTATACTATAAATGTTTCACAAGGAAGTTATACAAATTACTTGGCCCTCGCGAACGACATATGGCCTTATACAAAGCCATTCAGTCGAGAAATCTAAATCTTGCTGGAACCGCCAATTTCTTCATCACCTTTAGAATAATTCTGGCTTATAGCTGTGACAGGATATATATTAATATTTAAAAAAATACCTGGTGCAGTGAAGCGCTAAAAATACACCGCACGAATCTATACACGTGAAAAAGGAAGCATAATAATTAGAGCAAAACTGTCAAAGAATACTGCCTAATTAAGAACATAAATTCCAGTTTTCTCAATGTAGACCTTGCTATTCATGCAGAATTCGAAGGAAACTAGGGGATGACTGTCGGACTTTAATTTTAAGGCTTCCGATAGCATCTCAAACCACTTGGTTACATTATGAATTAAATCTTTATCCGATAAATTCGCCTCTTCAATAGTAACTTGCTACACTGTGACCAACTCACAACAGCAAATTAGGGGATTTCATAAATTTTTGTGGAGTGGTTGTAACTAGTTATGACTGGTCTTAACCTCTAATCTTTCCCGCTCTACTATATATATATATATAATCCGTTTATTTTTGTACTGAATTCGATCGGGCAAAGCTGAGTTGTATTAGTGGATGTACATAAAGAGGATATAACAATTAAGTATTTCATTGTTCTCTGAATAATTTCCGTTTTCTATGATTTATCAGCTAAGTGAATGAGTGTATCTACCTCGTTCATATTCTCAAGTAACTTGCGATATGCTTCGAGATCACTATCACAGCTTCAAATTTGCTATGTTTATTTTTAGTTTCTGATATTCATCATGTTAACTTGTCATCATCATTTGGTAATATTGCTTACCAAACTTAATGATTTTGCATACATTTAGCTTTTCGGAATAGTGGAAATGTTCAACAATCCAATGGTCGTCCTGTACTTGGTAGTACTCGCCCTATAGTCCCGACACACAATCCATCAGACGAGTTCTCGTGGGATCCTGATCCGAATTTTTTGAGGTCCGGTGTCAATCCGAACGGAATTGTTTCATGGGACACGTCACCCAATAGCGTGGTCAGCACCACTTGGGGGACTCTTGGTACTTCCAACTTAATAAGTTCTATACAAACTCACTTCCCACCTGTTTCAGATGATGTTAGACATCAACAGAACTTCATGAGTACTAACTCACTTCCTCAGGGATCTGTAAGTATTTCTTTAATATGTTGAAATAACATTTAAAAGTTGAGAATGATATGATTTTATATTCAGCCAAATAGTTTGTTGTACTTATCAATGGTGCTGATTTGAACTGCATACCGGCATACGAGGAGGAAGTAAGTAGTCTAGTTTCTAGTCCAATACTAAAAAGCAATTGAGCTTACATAATATAAATTTGCATTTATTTTGTAACAAGTAACTCTGACTTTTATGAAATGCATTAAAGTTTTTGTGTGAGTAATGATATGATAACCAAAACTATAGTGAGCTTTTGTATCTCAATAATTTACGTTGGAACAGATTAGTATACATATCGTAAAAAACGTTTATTGTTTGTTACCTTTGCATCTTGAAACGCTAACCAATACCACGTGTCAAAGTGACTAGTGAGGATCCTAATTTTGTCTATGTCGTTTCTTCTACTTCTTATGTAGCATAGTGTCCCAGAATTGACCAATTATACGTCTGACCAGCACTGTTGACCTAGAGTCGACACAGTCAAACTCACATTGGTCCTCTATCTTTGCTTTCAGACCAGAAAGTCAGTAGCCAGTTTCCATTATTACTTTATGGTAGAGCCATAATATTTCGACAGCAATTCTTAAATTACATTGATAATCATCAAGCCAATGAGAATAAAATTGCTATACAGGAATAATTTACTGTATAATAATCTGACAATTTAGAATGTATAAACAACTTTTACATGAATAATGATAGATTTTCAGTGGAGTTTTCAATATTATAATCATAATAGGTCCGGTATATAGACTCGTCCATATGACTCCATATTATTTGACCTGTAGATCCTTTATAATCTCGAGGAAAGTTTTTCAATCTGGTCCACATACGTTGTTAGTATGAACACCAGTTGTTGGGTCTATGCTAGGTTTGAAGCGGTTACGAGTTCACTTAGACTGCGAACGAAACAAGGACTTGTGTACAAAAACCAACAAACTAGCTATTCTATTGCGTCCCAGCCCCACTAACTAGAGAGAAAAGTCGAAGTCCGAACGCGGATATATATTCCGCAGAAAAGCCAGAAGCACGAGCGATAACAACAGACACAAATCAAAACGTATATATACAGCACAAAACCGTTCTTGGGAAGCGTTACAAAATAGCAAGACACAATGGACCAATAGCGTTTAAGATCCTCCCAAGTGGGAAATAAGACATGAAGGTGAAAAGAGCGCTTTTGGCGTGAAAACAAAGAAATTCAAAATTTCAAAATAAAATTACAAAATTAGGTCCTTTTCCGAGTGAGTTTTAGGGATCTAACGTCCCCAACAGTCTACATAGTGCCTCATGTACTAACTTGCGATGAATATATTCGTGTTTATAAAGATACCGATACTCCTTACATATGCTTGTGTGAATTTTTGTTCCAGATTACACGTGCTGTTCAATAATTGGGAGTGTTGGGGCCTTTCTGTTTCGTATATATGTTGGTGATATCCTTTTGCGTTTTGCAATCGCGGATTCCTTAAACTGTACTACTAATGCTGAGAAAACTATCACTTACCCAATCTACTTCCACACTTCTGCTCGTTATACTTCCCCTTCCGGACGACAGTTTCATCAATTTCTGCGATCCCGCCAACACATCCAAAAGATATCTTTAGGTTCTTTAGCATTATCAAATAAGTATCTCGCCAGTAGTAATACCACTATTGCTATGGCTTTTGTTACATCAGTCAGGACAAATGCTTGAGTAGCTTGTACTTCTGAAATTCACCAGATACAATTGGTATGATTTATCTCAATGTAATTTTAGAATGTTGGAAGAATGAGTGGCTTTCTAGTCCAACAAAACTAGAACCCCAAATCTGCCTCATCTCATGACACCAAAACGGGAATAATAAGTAGTTTATTAATAGTCAATGGGTTAAACCAAAGCTTAGGGTAAATAAGATATATATGCATAGTAATCCAGTAAAAAATTACACAATAAAAATATAAATAACAATAGTCCGAAAACCAGTTCCAAAAATTCCAGTTTGGCAATATTCGTTGCTCTATTTGTTTTTTGATGTGATTCGTTACTTTCGCAAACAGATATTTAATGCAATGCATTATATCAATACAGTATTTTCATTTTTCTCAGTTTATTCAATCTTCCCCGTAATAATATGATAGTAATTTCAGTCCATCTACAATTAGTCATCTAAAAACAAAGCTTTACCCACCCTCTAACATGCATTTACTTCAGCATCTGTAATTAAGTAATTAGATCTCTTTTTCTTGCAACATAAACCATTTCGTAGTATTGTCCGCTAATATCCTTCATCTTATACCCTGGATGTTTTCCGTACTTGTTAGCAAGACATTGATTGGATTAAAGCACGTTCCATACAGGATTATGTTAGAACATATTGACCCGGTTTTAGCTAATCAGCGCTAGCAGATAATCGGAGGTTATAGGATATTCTTGTATAAAATCTTAACAATACTAACGTTTTTCTTACTGTGACTATCTCATTAGACTTGGCTTGTTGTGGAATATAATTACGCACCAGTCCAAGCCATATTCTCATTTTGGGAACTAGTCGATTAAGGTAACATATCCGAAGAATACAAAGCAATTAGGTTGTGCGGGTCGTATAACAAAAGACTTTACATCACTTTACTTCGTACTATGCTTTTCAGAAGGTAGATTTGCATTGCTTACGTTAAGTAGTATATATATCGTGATTAAAATTCTTTTATTTTCCTTAGGAACGATTACTAATTCACCCATACAGTAATACCTATCGCGCAGATCTGGTCAAATACTTAATGAGCCAAGGATTTAAAAGAGAAGATGCACATGCTGCTTTAATTGCCTCCAATATGGAACCAGATAAAGCTATAGTCGAATTACGGGAGCGTTACAGCACCAATAAGGCTATTAATGCCATGACACAACCTCCAGAGCTTAATCGTAATTATGGAGCTGATAGCGTTCTGCACGTTGTAACAAGAAACGGACCCATGTACCAGCTGTCAAATAATACGTCTTTATCACAGTTTGCACCTTCTGGAAATAACTCTTCGGTGTCTGCACAAAATCATCGTCTGAAGCAGTCAGGGTTGTGCGTGTCTACGCAAAGTAATACAACTCAACTTTTATCTATGCAACCAGTCCCTAACTCTCAATTCATGCGACAGCAGATTACACAACAGGTGATATGTTCACTCCAAATTATTGCATTATATAATTGCATATGCGGTTACATTATGTCTACTTTATGTACAACACATCTCTTCTAATCATACTGCCTTCAGCAGTCATCCAATTGCTTGCTTGTCTTCTGGACTAAATGTGCTTCTAAAATGTAGCGCATATTGACTTCCTAACTGATGCTTTTTAAAATGTTTCTTTGATTTACTATTGATTTTATTGTGATAATTATATTTTATATGCATTGAATAAATGACAGGCTTTAATCAGTGGACTGAGTCCATCTATCAAAGGTGAACTAACTAGTTTATTTAAGTCGTTTAGGTTGGTGGATCACCAAGTCTAGACCTGAATACTCAACCGTTTTATTCAGTGAGATTAAGGCCTCACTGAATTAAAGATTCAAAATTTCAACCATTTCGTTAACTGTCTGAACGCTGTTCTGTTTTAGTTTTTTGATATGTTTTGAATTAACGTAATATTTGTACGACTTGTGGTCTATAAAATTAGCTCAAGCTTCCTGAGTTCTAATTTCTGTATCTTGGTATCTGACTAACCCTCGCAGTGTGACCTTCAACCTGAACGTTTTGACCTACTGGTTCTCCTTACAACTATTTGAATTAGAAGATTAACACCTAAGGCTTATCTTTGTAGACTTATCACTCTTACTACGACTGGGTCCGAGTCGCTATTACAGTTTTGACACCACAGTAATAACAACTTATAACTTTATTAAGTTACCTGAAACAAAGTTCATTGATTATGGTCTTCAACTTTGTCACTCATTTGCAATCAAGCACTAATAGCATTCGTAATTTTCCTTTAGGTTCGATCGGCCTTAAACCTTTCCATTCCAAGTCCGTTAGGTGTACAGACGAATGGGAGTGCCACAATGGGAACCTGTGGTGGTTCGCTTTTGGGAAAGCCTCCATCTCTTTCCTTATCAAACGTTAATTCCAACATTCCAACTGCATCGTCTACTAATCCACATTCAAGCACTACTACTAGTTTATGTCCTATCAAAAATAATCGTACATCTACTGGACCAGCGTCTTTAAACCAAAACTCAGCGAAAAGGTCGCCTCGTCAAATTTCGATCATAAACTCCATGATTGAATTGCAGAAAAAACATCAGGTGGGTAGGATTGTTTCAAATTTGTATGCTTATTTATTGCATTTCATCCTTTTTGTTGTCACTAGGACATAAGAATTCCGCTCATCACGAATTTTATTTTTGTCTTATCAAATTCCATTTACAATTGTTAAACGAATATTCCCCCGGATGGGTTTCGAGTTACCGAATCATTTGTCTAGTAGGTACGAAATCGCTATGTGCGAAATGCTTGCTTTTGGCAAACCTTAACATTGAATGTTTGGTTGTCATTTCAGGGTTTTCGAGGATCTTGGGGATGCTAGATCCCCAGAAATAACTTCTAAACGTCTCATTTTTGTAATTTTGAAATTTCATCTTCGCACCAAAAGCTCCTATTTGTGCCTTCAGATTGTATTTCTCACTTCGAAGGACTTTTAATGTCATTGGTTTGTTTCCTCTTTTGATCCTCTATTTTCTGACATTTACCAATGACGTTTTTATGTTCTATATGTAAGCTTGAGTTGTGTGCTTGTTTGTTTGTGCTTCCAGGCTGTTTGTGGAATATACTTTTCCCTCGGCTGAATCTAGTCTTCTCCCTCTAGTTAGCAGAGCTGGGGCGCAGTCAATAGTTTAGCTTGTCCCGTTGCGTTTATGACTTTCGTTCTGTTTGCCTAGATGAAATCATAATCTCTTCAAATGTCACAGAAGACTGTGTATTAATAACAAGTATTCCGGCAAGTGAATCACGAAGCGTGTGAACTGTTTAAAAACAATGGTATAAAACTTATAAACCTACAGTTTATTGAAAGATCAAATGCAACCAGCCGTTGTCGAGCTATGACATTCTCAAATCAAGTAATGACTTCTAGGGATATTCATGAATACCCTGGTACGGCCGAGAGTGGGGAGAGTCCGCTCTCCCTCTCGAAATACTCTCACACGGCCGCGCGTATACAGCCTCTGCCAGGAAAATCCTACTCATTGCCTTCTCGTGGCGGGGATGTTGTTTACGAAAATGAGAGGACGAAAAGCGAATGTCCGGCGCTTTAACCGGATTCCAAACCAATGGTGCACATGGGCTCCAGTATCCTGCGGGAACAAATGACGTATGAACCAATCGCTGGTCACCGGCTATCATGGGATTGCATCTCCTTACGATGCTCCACTGCCTTGTTGGTTAGACCTTTAGGTCAAAGGCTCGGGGTGTGGCCCCCTAAGATAGCCACCTGCTTCGGTTTAGGCACCCGGGCAGTATCACAGCCCACACACAAATGATGAACTCTTTATGTCTATGGAAATTAGTTTTCTCGCTTCGGAAAACAATCAATTGATTCAAATTATTATCATTACAATTATTATTATTATTATTATTATTATTATTATTATTATTATTATTTTCCACATTATTCACCCTCTTTTATACTTATACAGTGGCTCGTCTTTGGTGGAAATTCGACTGTATCTAAACGTTCTCGAGTCACTGTCCGGTTGAAAATTGTATGTTACCACCGAATACGAAAACTGAAGCAGTTTTTCTAAAACCACGTGCACCATTCAAACTGGCTGCCTTCAACGTTCGCACATTTATACAGGTCGGACAACAGATAGGGCTGGCTATGTCTTTGGAAAGTCTTAATATTGATGTTTGTTGTCTATCCGAGACCCGTATTCAAGACTCTGGCGAATGTAAGTAATGGTGGTGTGGATCTGTTGCCTGGAGAAAGACTTCTCGACCTTGAGTATGCGGACGATATTGTCTTACTGTGCGATGATGCCCAAGGCATGCAATCCGCACTTAACCAGTTGGCAATCAGTGTCCGTAGGTATGGTATGTGCTTTGCACCTTCGAAGTGCAAAGTACTTCTACAAGACTGGCAGGATTCCAATCTTGTACTCACCCTGGATGGTAAGCAGATAGAAGTAGTCGAGAAGTTTGTGTATCTGGGTAGCTGCATGAGTGCTAGTGGTGGCGTGAGCGATGAGGTCAATGCACGTATAGTGAAAGTCAGAGCGGCTTATGTCAATCTGGGCCACCTTTGGCGCCTTCGTGATGTTAGTCTGGCCGTAAAAGGTCGGATCTACAACTCGTCGGTGAGAGCACTTCTGCTCTATGCTTGTGAAACCTGGCCTCTACGAGTTGAGGATGTTAGACGACTCTCTGTGTTCGATCATCGCTATCTCCGAAGGATTGCTGACATCCGATGGCAACACCATGTTAGTAATGCAGAGGTTTGGGATCGTGTGTTCGGGCACAGAGATGATAATGTAATTGGTGTCACCATCTTGAAACACCGACTTCGGTGGCTTGGACATGTTCTACGAATGTCGTCCCAGTGAATTCCTCGTCGTGCATTATTCGCCGACTCTGGGACTGGTTGGAAGAAGCGGAGAGGTGGTCAGTGTATGACATGGTGTCGTGGTATGAAAGAAAGCAACAAAGGGATGGCTTGTGATAGTCCTTCACGACTCCCTGGTTGGGGTCTGAGAGATGGTGCTACACAGTGGCTAGAGACGTTATCTGATATGGCTCAGAATAGAAGCCAGTGGCGATCCTGCTTTAACCTTCTTTTACTTTCTTCATAAAAGGTGGTTGTGTCTCCCTTACCTGAAAGATTTCTTCTGATTGTACCTTTCCGTTCCCTCGTTACTACCACACTACCTTACACCAATCTCTTCGCTATTGTTCTCTTTTTCTTTTTGCGCTCCTTAGGTTTTTTTTCTATTTCTCTTCGAATTCTCATTGTTTTGTGTGGCGCATATATATTGGCGCTCTCTTGTATCAATATTCATGTGTTCAAATAAATAAATAAACGTTTGAAGATGTTACATCTTCCTCAACGGTGTGTTTATACTAAAATATCCATATAACAACGCATGCTGAATAACTAATATCGTTTGTAAAACACTCTTTACTTTACTTACGCCTGTTACTCCTCGTGAAGGAGCATAGGCCACTCACCAGCATTCTCCATCCAACCCTGTCCTGGGCAATCCTTTCTAGCTCCGTCCAGTTGTAATTCATCCTTTTCATATCTGCTTCTATTATCCGACGCAATGTGTTCTTTGGCCTTCCTCTTTTTCGCTTCCCTTCAGGATTCCAAGTTAGGGCTTGCCTCGTGATGCAGTTTGACGATTTGCGTAATGTATGTCCTATCCATTTCCATCGTCTTTTCCTAATTTCTTCTTCAGCTGGAAGTTGGTTTGTTCTCTCCCACAGAAGGCTATTGCTGATGGTATCCGGCCAATGGATGTTGAGTATCTTGCGTAGGCAGCTATTTATAAATACTTGTACTTTCTTGATTGTGGTTGTTGTAGTTCTCCAAGTTTCAGCTCCATACAGTAGAACTGCCTTGACGTTCGTATTGAAGATTCTCACTTTGATATTGGTTGAAAGTTGTTTTGAGTTCCATATGTTCTTCAATTGTAGGAATGCGACCCTTGCTTTGCCGATCCTCGCCTTTACGTCTGCATCTGAACCTCCTTGTTCATCGATGATGCTTCCTAGGTATGTGAAGGACTCTACATCTTCCAGAGTTTCGCCATCAAGAGTGATTGGATTGCTGTTTTCCGCTTTGAATTTGAGGACCTTGGTTTTCCCTTTGTGTATGCTGAGGCCTACTGATGCAGAGACTGCTGCTACACTGGCTGTCTTCATCTGCATCTGTTCGTGTGTACGTGATAGGAGGGCTAGGTCGTCTGCGAAGTCCAAATCGTCTAATTGATTCTGAGCTGTCCATTGTATTCCGTGTTTTCCTTCAGATGTCGAGGTCTTCATAATCCAGTCGACCACCAGAAGAAAGAGGAAGGGAGAGAGTAAACAGCCTTGTCTGACTCCAGTCCTTACTTGGAATGCATCTGTCAGCTGTCCTCCATGCACTACTTTGCACTGTAGTCCGTCGTATGAGTTCCGGATAATGTTGACAATCTTCTCAGGAACTCCGTAGTGTCGAAGAAGTTTCCATAATGTCCTCCTATCTACACTGTCGAATGCCTTTTCATAATCAATGAAGTTGATGTATAGTGATGAGTTCCACTCAACTGATTGTTCGACGATGATCCGTAGTGTTGCAATTTGGTCTGTGCACGACCGATCCTTACGGAATCCAGCTTGTTGATCTCGAAGTTGGGCGTCTACTGCATCCTTCATCCGGTTCAGCAACACTCTGTTGAAGACTTTCCCTGGTATTGACAGTAGTGTAATGCCTCTGTAGTTTTCACATTTGCTCAGATCTCCTTTCTTTGGAATCTTGACGAGGTGTCCTTCTTTCCAGTCCATCGGCACTTGTTCCTCCTCCCAAATCTTTTTGAATAGAAGGTAAGCATGCTTGTGGTTGCTTCGATGTCTGATTTCAGTGCTTCAGCTGGTATGTTGTCGGGTCCTGCTGCTTTCCCGTTCTTGATTTGTCTGACGGCCATTCTAATTTCTTCCGTCGTTGGTGGGTTGACATCTATAGGAAGATCTATGTGTGCTGCTTCGATGTCCGGTGGATTCATTGGAGCCGGCCTATTCAGGAGTTCCTCGAAGTATTCTACCCATCTGTTACGCTGTTGTTGAATTTCGGTGATTGGCTTGCCTTCTTTGTCTTTGACCGGCCTCTCTGGTTTACTGTATTTCCCTGCTAGTTTCTTCGTTGTATCGTGAAGCTGTTTCATATTTCCTTCTCTAGCAGCTTTTTCTGCCGTCGTTGCTAGTTCTTCCACGTATTTCTTCTTGTCGGCTCTAATGCTCCTCTTCACTTGTTTGTTTGCTTCTATGTATTCAGCTTGTGCTTGGACTTTCTCTGCTCGTGTTCGGCTGTTGTTAATTGCTGCCTTCTTGTTCTTCCTTTCTTTGATCTTGTCCAGTGTTTCTATAGAGATCCATTCCTTATGATGGTGTTTCTTTAGGCCCAGAACCTCTTGACACGTTGAAGTTAATGCTTCCTTGATGCCTTTCCAGTTGTCCTCCATAGTAGTTTCTTCTTCTTCAGTAGATCTTGTAAGGCTTGGAACCTGTTGTTGAGAGCTATCTTGAATTCATTGAGTTTGTCAGTATCTCGAAGGAAGGCTGTATTGAACCTTTGTAGTGCTGTTTGTCCACTTGTCCAGTTCTTTTTCAGCTTCAGTTTTAAATTGGCTACAACTAGGTGGTGATCTGAAGCTACGTCAGCACCTCTCCTGGTTCTCACATCTTCCATTGTCCTTCGGAATTTTTTGTTGATGCAAATATGATCTATTTGGTTCTCTGTAGTGTGGTCCGGTGAGATCCATGTAGCCTTGTGTATACGCTTGTGTGGAAATATTGTGCCTCCTATGACCAATTTGTTGAATGCACATAGATTTGCAAATCTTTCTCCATTTTCGTTTCTCTCTCCCAGTCCATGTCGTCCCATAATATCTTCATATCCGGTGTTGTCTATTCCGACTTTGGCATTTAGATCTCCCATCAGAATAGTTAGGTCCTTTCTTGGCATTTCTCAATGATTGACTGCAGCCGCTCGTAGAACTGATCTTTAATGTCGTCGTTGCTATCATTGGTGGGTGCATAACATTGGATAATATTCATTAAGATCCCCTCCTTCTTTGTTTTGAATGATGCTTTGATGATTCTGGATCCGTGAGACTCCCATCCTACAAGTGCATTTCGTGCTACTTTGGACAGCATAAGAGCGACTCCCTGAGTGTGTGGAGCATTGTCCTCTTCGTGACCGGAGTATAGCAGCATCTCTCCCGTAGCTAGCCTTTTCTGTCCAGCTTGGGTCCAGTGGGTTTCGCTGATTCCCAGTACTGCTAAGTTGTATCTCCTCATTTCCATTGCTATTTGACTGGTCTTCCCGGTTTCCCACATTGTTCGAACGTTCCATGTACCTATAAAAATTTTTGCTCTGGTTGTTAGAAGGGGCATCGGCCTCGTGGCTTCCGAAGGAACTCGGCTTTCACCATGAAGCGTCATAATTCTTCTAACTGAAGACCTTCTAACTCCCAGGGCAGAGTTTAAATGGTTTGGATTATTTTTTCTGGTAAGCGTTTTTTTAGCGAGTTAGTTTTCTACGGGATGGGGACGCTAACCCCATGCCCAACCCTCCTCCTTTACCCGGGCTTGGGACCGGTAGTAACCCTATAAGAGCTACAGGCGGAGTTTTGTGAAACACTCACTTAGTTTTATATCTCATCTGTCGAAATGATCTGAGCCTGTTTCTTATCATCCTGATTATTCTTCTATTTTCTGCTTGCAGAGTATTCAACACCAATTAAATATGTATCATAATAACCCTGCCCTTCGTTCACAACCTCAGTACGCGGACGTATTTGTTGAACTCCAAGGTCAAATGCAACAAATTGAAACTCAGTTACACGGAAAGCGAGCACAGCTTAACATAACTCGTGCTCAAGATTCTGTAACACAATCTGTAAAGAACCCTTTAATACCGACGAATGGTTAGTTGTTTATGCAAGGTATTTTTCTCAACTTCAGCTGTTATGCTTCATAAAGTTTAAATGATTGGTTTTGAATCTTCTACACAAAATGCACAACAAATGCAAGAAACTGAAAAAATACCAAAACTGGAACTGTGATATGTTTATATCGCAGTTTCTTCTGGTAGTCCAAAGTATATTAGTCATTCCATCCTAATTTTTTTACTTGAAGTAATCACCTTTCCCTCCAAATTATTAATATAGCGATAAACAAGGTTTTTATTCGGAAAAGAGTTTCCACACATGCTACCTGAACTAAGTTCCTAATAAACAAGTTTTTGTCACCTGGTCAGTCATTCACATTCTACGTACAACCTGGCACTTGTGCATCGGTTCAAGTTGCCGCACCATATCATAGTGAGATAATTCCAGTAGTAGAATCAGTGACTGCATTAGTGGTAAATGAAAAGATTGCTCACAGAAGACATGATCCGAGAAAATTAAATTGATGGGGTAAGAAATTGTTTTTACGGTAATTAAGATCTAAGGGAAGACAAAGTATAAATGTACCTGCACCGTTGCAAACTATTCTGAGCCATGTTGCTCAAAGTCTTCGGCCATTTGTTGCGATAATCATGTGGACTACAACCAGGTAGTTTGTACCTTCCTACACGACTTAGTCCAACTGTCAGTTACTTCATGGACTGATACCACGTTCCAGGTTTACAATGGTGGTCTAACATCAATCGGTTCATGATCGCGATAAAAAAACAATACTAATAATCGATGAATATGTTCTACTTTTACAGGCCACGTTCCATAATTACAAAGTAAAACAGAAATGATGAGCATATTCCCCATTAGTTGGCAGGCGGATATCTAGTCTACACCATAAGTGACGCAAGTTAGCCTAATTTTAAGTTGTCTTCACTGCTCATCGTGTTCAGAGCCCGAAGAGATGAGTATCTAAGCACCTAACAATTCTGTAAACGCCACCAAAATCCAGTCTATATTAAACTTTTGTTTAAATAATTGGTAGGTATCGCTTGTCAGTCTGGTGTTTTGTTTTCTTTTTAGGTACCGATATTTCTGATAACTCGTTTCCTGCTATTGGAACATGGATATCTCCTTCACCCCAATGTGGCGAAATCTTTGATAAAAACGTCATGGATGGATCAGGTATGTGAAATAAAATACTCTGTTTTCATCCTCGGTAACGTAAAAATCCGCGAAACATAGGATTGGTCTCGTTGATTTCTAAGCCGTTGAAATTATCTCAATGTCGTTTGACTACTGTACTCATACCGGCAAGGTGACTAAATTCTCTGGATAGCTTTTAAATTTTTTCCGTCGTTTACTACAGTATACATGTATCTGATTCGTTAGTTCAACTTTTTATTTGAATTTCAGCTTTTTCTAATGTAATCCAAAAGTGCGACAATTGTATAGTCGATATATTACAAGTCGAGGAGCTTGTCAGTCAGTTGTTAAGAGGAAACGTTCACTCGAATATATTTTGACATGATATCCCGAGATCGACATGAATAACGATGTTTCCTAGCAATTATTTAAACAAAAGTTTAATATAGACTGGATTTTGGTGGCGTTTACAGAATTGTTAGGTGCTTAGATACTCATCTCTTCGGGCTCTGAACACGATGAGCAGTGAAGACAACTTAAAATTAGGCTAACTTGCGTCACTTATGGTGTAGACTAGATATCCGCCTGCCAACTAATGGGGGAATATGCTCATCATTTCTGTTTTACTTTGTAATTATGGAACGTGGCCTGTAAAAGTAGAACATATTCATCGATTATTAGTATTGTTTTTTTATCGCGATCATGAACCGATTGATGTTAGACCACCATTGTAAACCTGGAACGTGGTATCAGTCCATGAAGTAACTGACAGTTGGACTAAGTCGTGTAGGAAGGTACAAACTACCTGGTTGTAGTCCACATGATTATCGCAACAAATGGCCGAAGACTTTGAGCAACATGGCTCAGAATAGTTTGCAACGGTGCAGGTACATTTATACTTTGTCTTCCCTTAGATCTTAATTACCGTAAAAACAATTTCTTACCCCATCAATTTAATTTTCTCGGATCATGTCTTCTGTGAGCAATCTTTTCATTTACCACTAATGCAGTCACTGATTCTACTACTGGAATTATCTCACTATGATATGGTGCGGCAACTTGAACCGATGCACAAGTGCCAGGTTATACGTTGCATATAAATTACGGAATATAGTTGGTTTATATTTCCATCTATTTTGCTGTTGGTGAGTATTTTCGAAACAGGTCATTTAGCGGGTTTTCTTATTTCAAACTGAAGTGTGCTTAATTCATATTTCTTTTTTGCAATACTCTCGCTATTTATTTATAGCTTCTAAGTTGAACAACTTCACGCGCACTCCTTCTTGCAAGATATCTGGTAGTTGGTCTCCTACCTGGTCTTCATCTGTTATAAATCCATCCTGTCCAAATATTCGATCCATTCATAATCAATGGCAACTAATACATAATCAACAACGATGTGCTTTAGAGAGTAACTTGAAGTTTCCGGTGTCAAAAAATAATCCTTCGAGTACCCTATCTATTGAAGCTCAAGGTCAATGGCTACTAGTGCAACCACTCTTAGGATGGAACGGTACAAACATCCACAGCCTTCAAAACATTTTATCAAATCATTTTAAACTTACTAGTTTTCATGTTTTGAATCCAAGCAGCTGTAGTGTACTTATAAGGCTTCAAAATATAGAGGACTCACTGCAGTTAGTGAAGTTTTTTGGTGACCGTTTATCTGTAGAACCGTTGTCTGATCACGATGCTCGCGTTCATTTGCAACAGCTAGTATGTTTCGTGTCAGTTTTTCGTTTTAAATTATTTTGTAAAGTTCTGCTGCTTACCCTGATTTTCTTGAAAACCTTCAAGATGTTGTAAATTAGCAACTTTTAGCATTCTGCTTAGCAGATAACTTAGTACCGTCTCAGTTAACTCAAGATTATATCTGTAGAACCTCACTACAACATTAATTATAATAACTACGATTTTTGTTCCAAACAGTTGTAAGAACAACAATAGGCAGTTAACTTGAATTTTCGCCTCATTTAATCCTGTTTTTGTTGTTTACACACGTTCTATGCAAGCGCATATTTGTTCTCAATAAGTACCATGTGTAACGTTCGACTGATAACCCGTGATTGATTGTTGAAATGCTTCCTACAGCTTTTCATTTATTTTCTATTCGTATTTTTCGTATGGAGTATCCATTTTTGTATGATTTTATGTTTTTCACTAGATTAATCTTCCCTGAAAATATCTTCAGTTTTTAGATAATGTCTTATTCAAAGATAAAAGTAATTTTCGGTATCCATTTTTCTCAGGTATCATACTCTATGTAGAAAGCCTAGTATAATCTCAAAATAATCGTCTGTATGTATTTCATTTATACAGCATTTGTGACTATGTGGACTACATGTTTCTCAACTTTTTTTTAATTTTTATTTTAGTCTTTGAACGCTTGTGGAGATGGCCTAATATCCAATCAGTTTAATACGTCATCTGATATACATGCCACACCACCTAGTTTGAATAGCAATGGACAATTTTACTCCTCCATGAATTCAAATAACAAAAAGCCTAATCCTCATATAGCTCGTTTTGGAATAACTGTATGTGGAAGCAAGTAAAGATTTATATTTATGAGAAAGATGGTCGTCTCATGGAATCTCTTTTATTCTCTGGATATCTTAGGGAAGTCTTCCAATCTCAACGCTTTCGCGTTCAGATTCACGTCTCTGAAGCGCAGCCAATCTGTCAGTATATAAGTTAATGACTAACTTAAGTTATGCTCAAGTTTTGCCAGTATGTATTACTCTTTGAATACCCCTATTTTGTTCATCGTTTGCTGTGCCTAAGAACATTCTGTGATCCAATATTATTACAATCATACGTTTTGAATTTAAAAAATTATATGCGGATCAAAACTAGTCAGAATTGCCTTGTTAATCATAAACATCCTCTTTATCCATATTTCCCAATATATATATATATATATATATATATATATATATATATAACATACCTCATTGCCTTTCAATCATCATTATTTCTGTGTTTGTGAATGTATCCGGACTGTTTGTCTGTTGAATGTTGCAGTTTCGTTTTTAAACCGTTCGGTTTTAGTAGTCTTTCATTTGTGTGCTTCTTTGGACAGCCTCTATGATCTGTAAATCGTTTCATTATTTATCTTTTTGTAAAGAGACTTCTGGTATTGCTAATGATTCAGTCTGTTTCTGGTTTATAAGTCATGTGTTTCCCTCGTCCATTTTGAATAGTATCTAGTTTGTCCTAAATATTATATGATTGATATACCTATACTTAATTTGTACTCTTTTGATTTCCCTCTATAAGTAGTACATTTTGTGTCTTTTCATTGAGCTAATCAAAGCTAAACTGAGGATGTATTTTTTCATCTTAGTACAACATAGACCATGTCTTTTGATAGCCCCTAACTGTGATGTATTTAATTATGCTCATTGTTCTAATATCCTCATCATTTCTCTCGTCTTTAGAATGGTGAAAATATTTGGTCTTCAACTCTAAATACACTGTCTTAACTGTAGACCGGTGCAATATGTTTCTTGTCCCTCAAATTGTGCTCTAAACATTACTTACCTACCTCTTAATAGCAGTAAATTCGTTTGATAAGCTTATAGTCCATGCACCGTGTGTATGATCAGTAATACTTTTTTCTTTTGACGACAATAAGTGTGCATCTTATATTATCAAATTATCGCTTAATAATTATAATAAAAGAACTATAACCTACTCTGTCATCAGAAATGTTTAGTTTTTGCAGATCCAGCTGAAATTACACAAATCCATTATCATGAATAACTTATATGAGTGTGTTTGATATATATATATATATATATATATATATATATATATATATATATATATATAACATTTCCAATCAAATGGTCATCCGTTATGTACTTTGCTTGTAATTGTTGCATCCAGTTTTTTTCTCCGCACAATGGTCAATCTAAAAATCAAACTATGCTTTTCTGCTTCTCTTCAGTGTGTATGAATATATACTTATTCCGTTTTATTTAATTATTTGAACTCTGAATAATTCTGGCTGTTTATCACAAACCATTCTGAGTTAGTCTTTCTAATTCTCATGTCTTGTTGATGATTGCATTTTCCTTTAATAATTCTAGATATAACTATACTTTTGTGGTTACCTTTCTGTATATTCTGCCTGAATTGTTTTTACGCAGTCGGTTTTGTTATCACAACGACTAAGTTCTTTAATTTATGTCATGTGCTCTGTTTTTCTTTGCTAAATAACTCATTCCGGTGCAAAGCTATATTATGTTGCCAAACTTATCTAAATCGCATAGTCTCTGTATTTTCCCTTGTTTTTTAATTTCTGCCACATCTTGAAAATATCTTTTTTTAACTTAGTGGATTGCGAAATTATTCTGCCTACTTATTAACCTGTGATCAAATCCATGTGTTGTAGCTACTGCGCACCTATCTCGCGTATTTTGATGTATTATTTTTCATTCCATTTATGGGCCATTGTTTTCCTTTTATCGTTATGTTCGTGTCTTAAATGTTAACTGATCTACATTTCCAGGGATCCAGAACATTTTGTGATGCTTCTCGTGCCTGTGCTAACTGACTAGTTAGCATTATTCATATCACATGTGCTTCCACTCAATTCTGTTTACAGCTGCAAAACAACGTAGGAGGTGGACTCACATAAAATAATTGAAAGCCCCCTATTTTATTCCAAACTTCTTTGGTTGTGTTCAACATAGTCCCATATTTCTTCACATATCCTGGGTGCTCACAGATCAGTGTAAACTTTAATACTTCAGAAATCATTGTGCTTTGTTTTGCAACTTCTTGATTCAATGTATTGAATCCAATAAGTCGTCCAGTTTCATTTTCAAATCCTAATTTTGTTGGACTCAGCATTCTTTTTTTCTGTGTCCAGTATTGAATTTGCGGTCTTGTTAAGCATAATCATGAATTTGAAAAAGTTACCGGATTTTATTTATGATAGATTTGCCGTTCCTTCACTTTATGTTCATTGATTATTTCTGTCATTCTCATATCCTGTCACCTACTCTTCTCATCACCCTTGCTATGCTGATACTAATTCTTATCCAGCAACGCATTATGGTCTCTTAATTGTGTTTTTTTATAGCAAAACTCGTCTGGTTCCAGGGACCTTTATTTTATCCAATTCCTGTAAGGCAATGTTCTCTTTGAATTGTGATAATTGATGAAGCTAAAAGGTTTTTAAATTTTTTGCGTGACTTCTTACTGGTTCCCAATATCGTCTGTCTATTTTCATCGTTGTTTCTAGCTCAGCTTTCTGGACTTGCCATTTTTGCGCCAAGTTGTTTCACTTGTTATTAACTATTTAGCATTGTTTGCTGTGCCCAGTAGATAAAGGTTTTTAAAATATTTCAAGCTGTCTTGTTGTTTTCATTGTTGCTTCTGAGTTTGGTTTATGAACGGTTCAGTGTGTTCCGTATTTTCTACATGGATAGTTAACTCGGATTTCATATTTGAATCATCTGATCAGTTCTTAAAAAATATTTGTTCATTCTATTGGACAATAAATCTTAACGTCGATTTCTTTGTTTTAATCGCAAGTGTTAAGCGTACAACTCATGTGATTTAAAACACTCAGTATCAAACATGAGTATTCAAAACATTTGGAAAGTCTATAAAGCAATATTTGTTCTGCCATTAGGTTTCCAGAATTACAGGACGCTATGGTCGTTTAGTCGAGTATATATATATATATATTCATAGTAATCCAGTTAGCAGTTACACAAAAATATAATTAGCAATAGTTCGAAAACCAGTCCCGAAAATTCCAGCTTTACAGTATTTGTTGCTCTATTTGTTTTGATGCCCCGGCCGCTGTGGTCGGGCTTGCTTGTCGCGATGAACCAATTGAAGTATACTGGCTGGGGAGTAGTCCCTCAAGGTCCTGCCACGGTAGAGAGGTTGGTTGAAGTGCGGTGAGACTAAACGCTGCCCAACCAATGTCTGAAGTCGAACTGCTGGCTGTGCAGAGATGTGATGGCAGTAAGGTGTTCCCTTCCGACAGCCAGCATGATAACGTTGCTGCCTTCCCACTAAGAGGGGTGAGGATAGGCCGACCCTGAAAATGCATACCTCGCCTTACCACACGGATGTCCGTCCCCCGTGGTAAGGCCTCAACAGGTACGGAGCTAACACGAAAATTACTCACAAAAAGGTCGTATGTGAACGACCTCGAGCAGTTGTCCCTTGGGCGGTTACCGCCCTCATACCTTTAACGGCACTCAAGATAACCGTATTCATAATCGATCTCCCTCTTTAGTTCCTATTATTACTCCTACTTCGACATTCAACTCTAAATTTCCTCAAATGTCGCCATGTCCGACGATTCTATTGCACGAAACACTGTCTTAGGTTTACTGAAACCGTGCTGCAAACTACACGTTGGAGCCTTTATCGCGCACACCCTATGTCAAATCGGCCAGCAGGTCTATCTGACTAAAACACTTGGATCTCGTACCACTGATGTATGCTGTGTCTCCGAAACACGCGTACAGTATCCTAGTGTGGTCATTCACTTGACCTCACCAAATCAGAGAGCCAAAGAGACCTTCCTTGTACCTGGCGACCGATGGCTAATTCTCGTGGACTGGTAGGTGTAATTAAAGCACTAAGTAAGAGGACAGAACAAGCATTAATAGAGTGGATCCCCGTTAACAGTCGTCTATGTGCTGTTCGGGTAAACGGCTTCGGAAGAATGGGGACACACATCGTTGCCTTTTCGTCGTTTCTACCTACGCTCCCACTGACTGCATGCAGGATGAGTGAAAGATGAATTTTACAGAAAGCTTTCTGAACTTCTTCAGAAAGCTAAACGTTCAGATATAGTACTCGTAGGAGGTGACTTTAATGCCCAATTAGGCAGATTAAACCAAACAAAAAGACATTTAGGTGGGCATTTCGGTATTCCGGCCCAGCGAACAGATAATGGTGATCGTTTAATTAAGGCAAACACTAATTTTAAGCATTAGGAGAGACATCATCTTACATGGCGACCCTCTGCACCAAACAATCGATGGACTCAAATAGACCATGTTGCCATTAGTCATCGTTGGGGAGGGTCGGTAGAAGATTGTCACTTGTTCTGGAATGCATGTTTGAACTGCTCTAATACGAGCACGCATTTGCTTGCACCTCACTCAGAAAACCCTTTGGAATTGAATTGAGTGATGAGAAAGCAAAAAGTAGATTCCAGGAAATACTGAAGTCACACCTCGGTAGTTCTGAAAACAAGGCTGATCCAGATGATACCTGGAAAGATATACAAACAACTGTGGAAAAAGCATTGATATCTGTTAGTGATTTAAACCAATGGGTTTCTTCTGGGTCTGTTTCACTGATAGATCCTCGTAAACTCATTACATCAGGCTCTGAATACGATGAAGATCTAGGTTAACCAACGAACGATCGAAAGCAGCGGTGAGAAACGGAAGCAAAAGAGATGGAAAAGACGATGGCAGATGTAGGCAACATAAGACAGTTCTTCAGATTCATAAAAGAAACAGGAGCTAAAAAGTCACGGATGGTCAAAATA